ACCATCGACCCACGACACTCGAATCGGGCCAAAGAAGAAAAGGACGCGCTCCATGCTCACAGAAGGCGAAGCCACCGAAAAATCTCGGACCGAGCGGCAAGCCCAGTAGCAGTGAGGGAAGCATTGGGAAGAAGAGAATATTTTGACATTCAAGTGTACCAGGGAACAAGCTTCCCAGAGTCAAACTACCAAGAAAATGAAAACCGCAGCCTAGGGAGACTGACACGGCTTCGGGAAAGAATGTCGCAGGCAGAAGGATGTCAGGCAAGGACGAACGAGGTCAACTTTCTCTCGCGTGGAAGAGAAAGAGCTCGGTCGGCTCGAGACCGAGAAAGGGAAAGGCCAGACACGCGAACGGGAGAGGGAAGGGAGGCAGAGCTCGGGTGCGTGAGTTTAGGAATTTAGTGTTTAAAGAGGAAAGGGGGAAAATGATTTTATATAAATTAATATATATATAAATATATATACATTAAATTATATGCGATTTACTCGCGCGCGGCGACGTAACACAATGGGTGTCCTCCATATCCCCCCTAGGCAAAATCGACGCTCCGGACGTGCCGGTACAGTCCGGTTTGTCATCCTCCGGGGTCGCTCAGACGACGTCGTTGACAATCGGGTCAAAAACGCGTCAAAATTCAAATTTCACAAAATTTCCACCCGCGATCGATCGCTTCAAAAGGTTTATTCGACTCTTCGACAGGTAACAGTGCAAGTGATGTGAATTGTGACGATCGGACGCGTCGACTCTCCGAATTGTGAAGTTTTGTGCGCGGGAGTGCGAATTGTGCAAAAGGCCACCGTAAGGCTCAGAAAGGTCCTATAGGAATCTCTTTTGGGTTTCCTCATGTTGGTTTCATCCCTCTAAGTGCTAGAAGTCGATACCACACACGCGAAACTCCAGAAGAGTACAGAAGTGGGTTGAATTTATAAAACGATGCGGGTCCCATTTCTAAGGTTCTAAGATAGTCAAAGAGAGATCCTTAAGGCTAGATCCTAAATCCTAAGAGGAAGACTAGACCTCACCAAAAATGAGGTCAACAGCCACACAATAGAGAAAGCAAAAAAGATAAATAGTTAATGCAAATGCTGCCAATTAAAGACTTAACATTGATGGAAGGCTAGTTATTGCATTTGCAAGCAGCACAAACCTTCTGATAGGACCATCGGTAGTTACTTGTTATTTCTCGAGGCGTCAACAATTGCAAATCTAAAGGCAAATAAAGGATAAGAGTCAAGGGCAATGATAATAACAAACTTAAACATTTCACAAGTGGTCATCCAAAGGGATGATGATAATGGGCAATCCAACAGTATCAACTACAACTTTCCTAAGAGCGGCACCGATAAGAACACAAAAGACTTGGTAGCAACCAACCCAAAGTTGGTAAACATGGCAAAGCAAAAGAAGATGATTGTGCTCAGCTAGAAGACCATGATAAAAACAAGAAAAAAAATATGATAACAACATATAGGGATCCAACCAAAAGGTGACCTTCATTAACCCTGTGGCTAACATAAGGGTTATACTAATAAACAAGCAAAACAGTGACGGCAGCGGTGAACCCAAAGGTCAAGATGGTAGCAAACCTAGAGGTGCTGATTATGACAAACCAAAAATACAATACCATTAACAAGTAAGAAATTAACAATAATAGGCACCTAAAAGCTAAGACTTTGACAAGCCTAAAGATTGCATCTACAACAAGAGAAGACAACAGCAGCCTGCACAAATATTATGATAATAGAAGAATGGAGGTAATAATCACAAGTTTTCTGTAATGCTTTAAATGATAAAAGGTTTTTTTTTTACCGATAATAATTGTTATTTAATATTAATGAAGGAGAAAGGATGATGTTGAGAAAGGAGACTAATGTTGGTTAGAGTATTCCATTGATGTGGAACTAGTTGTATGTTCCTCAAAGTTAAACATCCTCTTATAAAAAAGTTGTGTTGGTAAACGTTATAATGTTTTGCTAGAAGATGAGTGTGTTCAGCTATATGGCAATGATAAAAACAAGAAAAAAAAAATATGATAACAACATATAGGGATCCAATCAAAAGGTGGCCAACCTTGTAGCTAACATAAGAGTCATACTAATAAACAAGTTAAACAGTGATGGCAGCAGTGAACCAAAAGGTCAAGATGGTGGCAAACCTAAAGGTGCTGGTTATGACAAACCAAAAATGTAATAGCATTAACAAGTGAGAGGTTAACGAAAAATAGGCACCTAAAAGCTAAGCCTTTGACGAACCTAAAGATTGCATCCACAGCAAGAGAAGACGACAGTGGCTTACACAAATATTATGATAATAGAAGGATGGAGGTAATAATCAAAGTTGTTTGTAATGCTTCGAATGATAAAAGGTTTTTTACCGATAACAATTGTGATTTAATATTAATGAAGGAGAATTGATGATGTTGAGGAAGGAGACTAATGTTGGTTAGAGTATTCCACTGATGTGGAACTAGTTGTATGACTAATGATCCTCAAAGTTAACCATCCTCTTATAAAAAAGTTGCGTTGGTAAGCGTTATAATAATTTGTAAGTTCTCATTTGGATGTGGTTGACATTTTTAAGAGCTTTAACAGGTGTCTCCAATGCCAAGTTTGAAGGCTCAAGGGATGCTTAAATATTTGAGCAATGCCAGTCGGATTTATAGACTTATTGTGTTCACGCACCTGTGTAGTATTGTTTCATCCATGCTTCGTAAGTTATCATTTAGACGTTGTTTCACCAAGAAACTAAAGGACCAAATTCATAGAAGTGTCTTTCGCCTCTCATAATCTTTCTGTAAAATATTTGGAAATGTTCCAACAAAAAAAACACACACACACAAATAATGGGCCACCATAGGAAGCACAGCATTAAATTGACAACATTGAAGGGTTACTTTTCATTGGAGGCCTTTTTAAATGTATTTCAACATTCTTTGTATCAGGGGAAATTAGACTCAAAGTATTTTGATCATATCCCAAGTTCACAATTGAGTTGTATATTATTTTGAGGCCTTCATGAAATTAGTTGCAACGACAAATGTCAATAAATTACCTTATATAATAGCTTGACATAAACTTGACTCCAAAAATTTGAGTTCAAGTTGGACTTGATACTATATGAGTCAGGTTCAGTACAGAAGTATAGACCCGTTTAATGCTTTTTTTGTAGGATTTAAGACAATATTCTAGAATGCATCCTCTCCTTGACTGGCTAGCAATCCTCCTTCACCTCAAAGGACCAATTTGGCTTAAGTGGATCCAGTTGAAACAAAATTTAAATGAAATATATAATAAATGAGTCACACATTAAATAGGTTTGCATCGAGTCAGTTTAGGTCAGCCATTCTAAACCACATGACAAATAGACCATTTGGGTCAAGTAATTTCATGCACAAACAAGTTCAAAACATACCCAAACCAAGCCCACTAACCTGAATTGACAACACTTGCAGCAACCATCCTTGACAAATTATGTTGAGTTGTTAGAATGCTAGAGGATTGAGCTATTTTTAATCAAATGCCATCCAATTTGATTAACTTAATCTTCTTTACAAAAAAAAAAACAAAGGAAAAAAAACTTCAACGAATTGGATTGATTTTTGTCAAATTTCTTCCATGAGCTTGACATCGCTTTTTATTGAAAGATGTAACCATGAGAAGTAGGCTAAAAAGCCTTTATATTGTCACTTGACATTTGATAATTAATAGCCACACCAAAAAAGGTGTGTACGTGTTGATAGGCAATGAACAAGTTAATGAATCTAATCATGTTTCTGGAAAGAGAATACGTGACTAAAAACATGACAAGAACATTGAAGTGAAAATAGTTTGGAGGCTATAGTAAAGATACCCCGCACACACCCCGATTGCCAATCTTAATTTGCTCATTGGTGAGATATGAGATATTAAATTTTGTATATGTGATGTCTCGAATTTAAAATGGTCAATTTGACAAAAATAGTTTTGTAAGGTTTGTACTTGTATTTGAATCTACCAAAAAACAACGATAACATCTAGCCGCCATTTTTTTACATGATATGCTTTCCTTTCTGATAATGTTCATTTACTATAAATAGCTAGCGAGCCGAAAACCTACAAAAATCTCAGCAAATGAAAAGTTGAAACACAGACAATGATAGGTGTGAACTAGCTCAATCGAACAGTGTAGGTATGAGGCTCATGCCAAGAAGTGATCAAGAGAACATTGCATTGACACAACCCAATTAAGTCATATTTGAACAACTTCACCTCTCGATTGGCCAATTCATCCAATATAGAGCTTATTAATGCTCTGAGTGCTGCTTTGGAATGGATGGATTTGTTGTATCGAGCCAAATCTTTTAGCAAGATATTCGCATCATTATGAACTCAACTGGGCTCCATATTACTTTTCCTTAATAAATTAAGTACTTATTCGATCTTTCAAATTCATTTAGAGATTTGTGTGTTGCATCGAAAAAGTGTGTCTGATCAAACTACTATTTTTATGATCCCACTCGTTCTAAAGACACTAACAAGAGCAACAACCTAGCACACTTAATAAATAATTGGAGCTGTGCTCGCCCTACAACTTTACCCAAAACTTGGTTCAACCTCAGTATTTTCATCCATAGGGTGACTTCTTAAACTATGCGTGCAGTTTTCTGCATTTTGAACACAAAAATAGAACATTACTGCTTTACTTGTCGTTTTAATTGTTATTCTTCTGTGCATCTAATGCATCTCCTAAAATAGCCCAGGCCGAGCCATTAACAAAGCGTATCCCTGTTCTCTCTTAATGCAGTAAGTACTCTCAGGCAGCCCCCGAGACAAAATGCGGAGCAAACTCAGTCACCAAAGGCAGAATTCAGGAACCAGTTCAAAGAGGCCAGACCCTCCAAATTTGCCCCAATCAGCCATTCGAACAGAACTGATACATTACACCTGCCTGATTCATCCTTTCAAAACAAATAATAATACAAAAGAAAATAATGTCTTGTCCTGAATCAAAACCGTACCTCTGTCTCGTTTAACTCCGTCTCTTCGCTCTTCTCGGCCGCTTTCCTACTCCAGGCGAGCTTGAAAATGGAGTAGATGAGGTCCTGATAATTCATAAAAAGGGGCTGAAGTTGGGACATTTCGAACCTTGTCGATGGGTAAAGAGCGGAGGGGGAGATAAAAAAAAATGTCCAGAGGGTTTAGGGTTTTTAGACTTACGCTGTCGAACGTGTTCTCCATTTGGAGGGATGGCCTGCAGGAAAAACGTTTTGCGATTTCATCAAATTATTCTCTTTTCTTCTTTCATTCTGCAATAAACACTAAGAAGATTTACACACATACCATTTAATTCCCATATTTTTATGTATATAACACCCAAACTTAATTTTCTTACATATATACCGCCTTTTACAAATGAATAAAAATATATTTTTCACTTTTTTTTAGTAAAAATAATAATATTTTTTATTAAATCATTGCAATACTTCAATAAATAACATATAATTCGAGAATAGGGGTTATAATTTAAGTGAGCTAAGCTCTCATTGTAATTGATTGAAGTTTGAATCATATCATTGTGATAAATTCATTCACATAATTTGAGATAACATTTAATAAAGATGATAACTATTTATACATGAAACAACATTAACTCCCATGCATCAACATTTTGTCTGCTTTAGTTTTCTAGCATTATGATTTTGCATTGTTAGTATAACTTTTGAGGAGATCACCCATCCTCATAAATGTTCCTGTAAGAAAAAATTTCACTTTGTGTTTTCATGAATTTACAACTATTACACTAAAAGTTTCCTAAAAGCTTAAAGTTCAACTTCAAAAGGTTTCACAATCTCCCCCGCTTAAGTAAGCGAAGTCCTTCTGAATATTTTTAACCTAGAATTATTCATAGGGATCTAAGCATGACCTCTTAATATATTTAAGAGACGACACTCAGAATGCAGCACTTTATATCATATAGGGTTTAAGAGGTGGCTTTCGTAGCGTAACACTTTTTTGTATGTCACACTTGGTTCTCATCTTAAGGTTGGTGCACTGCTTCAACTCCATTTGAAATAGCTCCAACTTTTATTGATTGAGAGATTGTCCTCTTTGGACTAATGGTCTCACAGTTTTGTCTTATTGGTGCAATTACACGATAAGTCACAAACGAAAAATTACTCTCATAAGAACACCCATAACTTTAGAGTTACTAATAAAATTCAAATTTAATATCATTATATCGCAAGACCCGTCTATATTTGAGAGTTAAGTTTCATTTTACTTTAGGGGTTTCTCAATATATAAGGTTGAGGTCTACTTAGTAGGTTTCCCTAAAATGCCACAAATCATCACAAAATGAAGTATAAAGCATGGGCAGACTCGTGCTAAGCTAACAATGTCGAGGGGATATTAATATTTTAATGAAAAGCATAGGTGATTTGATGATTTGCCCCCATCCAATAATTATTTTGCAGATGGTTCAGATTTTAAAGTTTTTTAGTTTTAGTTTACATCAAATTTTATATTCTTTTCATTAAAATATTTATATCAGTGGGGGAATTGCCCCCTCACATATTAATATTTTAATGAAAAAAATAGGTAATTTGATTATTTGTCCCCTTCAAAAGTGCATTTTGCCTTCCCTCCCCCTCCGATATAAATACTTTAAAGTTAATTTTTTACAATTTGATGATTTGCCCTCGTAAAAAAGTGCATTTTGCCCCCACTCCAATAATTATTGTGCAAATGATTCAGAATTTAGAGTTTTTTAGCTAACTTTGCATCAAACTTCATATCATTTTAATTAAAATATTTATATCAGATGGGGATTTTCCCCCTCGTATATTAATATTTTAATAAAAATGATAGGCAATTTGATGATTTGCCTTAGTAAAAAGTGTATTTTGCCCCTACTCCAATAATTATTTTTTAGATGGTTTAGAATTTAGAGTTTTTAAATTTAAGTTTGCACCATAGTTAACCTATTTCATGGGAGGGGGAGGGGATTTCCCCCCTCTGAAATAAATATTTGAATGAAAAGGACACGCAATTTGAAGATTTGCCCCACTCGAAAGTGTATTTTGCCCCAACTACCATAATTATTCTGCAGATGATTCAGAATTTAGAGTTTTTTAGTTTAATTTTGCATCATGATTAGCCAATTTTATTGGATAGTAGAATTCTTGTTCTTGAGTGGACCAATAGATTTAGCCTTGTATTTAGGGATACTTACATACATACCATCCACTTCCTGTGTATTTGCATATCTAAAACTTATACTTTTCTTTTTTACATTTATGCCGCCCAAATCTTACACACCAATTCAAAAATATCACTATTTTAACTTTTAAATACTGGAATATACATCTTCATACATAGGTAAGGTTGCAACTATGTAAAAATTTAAGTTTAGGTCTTAAATGTACAAATACATAAAAATTGAATGGTATGTCTGTAAATCTTTCATATATTTACTATCTTGACATAATGTTTTGGTCGCCAACTTTGCCTCTTACATGCCTATACATCAAGCTTTTCGTTATATATGTCCTTATTTGGTGGATCATACAAAATGGCTGGATTTATCTAATTTTAGAAGGAAGTTGGGGTCAGGTTATTGCAATCAAATCACCTAATTTTTTTTAATATTTATATCACAAAAATATTTTATATCACAATAAAAATCCCACTATTTAAATTTTAAAAAAATAAAATATATATTTTCACGCAGATGAGGGGTGTATACGTTAAATTTAAAGTTTAGATGCTCGATATGTAAATATATAAGAATTGAGTGGCACATATGCAAATCATAATATATATAATTTTAATCTCAAAATTATATTTGTATTAAATAAAAACACAATACTTTTCGAGAAGTGAATTTAATTATTTTAAAGTTAATAATATAAAAATAAATTTTAATCTTATTTTGTTTAAATTAAATATTCTTTTTTTTTTTTAATTGATAATATAAAACAATTTAAAATGACTTTTTAATTAAATTATATTTGTAGTTAACATTTATATTGGGTGTTTGACTCACTCTTACTTAGTACTTTACTTCTATTTAGTTATATATGATTCATTTTTTTATTAAAAAATTAATTTATTTTTATAATAAGTTTGTCCACCTAAAAATATAAGTTTTTTTTTTGCCTTTGTACATGAGGGGTCTATCCATCTCATCAACAGTTCAGTTGCAAATAAATTTTATTCAATGCATAAAATTATCATGTAGTCATAAAATGATAGACTACTATATCTTATAAATCATTTATCAGAGTGTAGGAAGTCTAATACTTGAAGAATGATCAGGTGCCCATGTTCAGTAGTTATGATGATGGACATTGGAGGGAAAAATAAAAGTATTTTTTCACATTATTGTGTGGTTTCATATTGTATACATAAAAATGATTTGCATGGATCTTAAGACGAAGGTCGGAATAAAAAGAATCGGAACACGCTTTGTTCTTTTCTCTAAAGCAAGGCTAAACATGTAATTTTTATACTTTTTTGCCCCTCTATCTTCTTTAAATAGAAGAGCTCTATGATGTAAAAAAGACATTTTTGCTCCCCCACACATCTAAATTCAAGCTTTATGAAATAAGAATGGTACATGAGTCGATAGAACACCCCATTTTTTCCCCCAGGCAAGGGGAGTCTTTTGCTACCCCCCCTCAATCTTATATCCTCAGTTTGACGCTTCATTCCTTGGGCACGTACAAATTTAGATTCAACACATAAAATTATAGATTGTGTCCATTTAAGATCTCAACAATTGTTGTTATGAGTAAAGGGTGCATGTAAGATAAGGTGGAGCCCAATTGGAATCAATTCCTAAGAAAGAAAATCAAAATTTATTAACATTTATAAAATTTAAAAGTTTCTATAATATTGATTGAAATTCAAAAGCCATGATAAATATATAAAGGACATACAATTTGAATTAAGCTTCTTTAAATCTCTCAAGCGCCCATCAAAACATTGAATTCACGTGCTGCATCCTGTTCTTAAGTTATATAATTCACTTATTTAATGAACTATATATAAATATTGGCATTATGAAATTCATACAAACATATTACTATTACAAAAAATACATACATTTGAAAAAAAAAAATTTATCTCTAATTTAATTATTTAAATTATAATATGTCAACAAAGCCCTTTATCGAAGTCTCGTCAAAGGACGGTTGCGATTCACATCCTTTCCATGCTCGTACAGAGAGGTGAGTAATTGAGCTCTGCTTTCTCCCCAAAAGTAAAAGCTCAGCTTTGCTTTCGCGGCAATCATTCGCGCATCAATAAGCGCGCCCCACTCACACTTCTCACGTGACCCACCCACATTATTGGCTATCATCCACCATGATTTTTCAAATCAAATAAAAAAATATAAATTATTTTCTTTATTTTATTTTGAATCAAATAAAGTCCAACATATTCAAAAAATACTTTAGTTCAATTATATCACTTTTATAATTATCTTTTAACACGTGTGACACATTTCATTCACGAATTACAATATTATACAAACATGACGATAAGACATGTTAGGTATCATTCATTTATGATTTATAGCAAATCTATTTATAATTTGATATTTCATTTTAATTAGTTTTTATTGTTTGTTTATTTGTTATGATATTGTTATGAGGCACATGATGTTGGTTGATAGTGAACTTTATTGTTAGTTAGCATAAGCGACATAACTTAGACAACAATCATCAAATAATAATTATATTATAATCATAATCACTACCAATTTGTTATCCCTAATCATCGACCTTAATCATCCTTAATATCTATATGATTCACCAAAATTATGGACTTTCTCAAACTTATAGTCCCCTAAATGTGAAGCATAAGACCTATTTATATATTCATAAGTACCATAATATTCTATCGGTCGGTCAATGTTAACTATTATAATTACTAGTGTTATGTGGAAACATGTCTCTTTATGATGTGAAAATTGATAGCACATTAAATATCTAAAATATTTTTCAAAATTGAGTTAGTTTAGAATAAAATTCATATGATTTTACGGCCCATTCTATGAATTTGTAATAGAAATATGGGAAATATACATATGCAAGACTCAATTCTTATGGACTCACGTATCTCGCACCTAAACATTTTCATATTTGAAGGCATAACTCTTTATCTATGTATTAAAAGACGAATTTAATAATTGAAAGCTACAATCAG